AAGTGAGGTTATGTAAGTGACATCACCTTATATTTATTTCACCATGTGTCCAAACAAAAAAAAAGAAAACAACATTGTAGTGCGTCAAAATGAAAATAATAATAAAATAATATAAAGTAAAATTCTCTGGGAAGACAATACCTGTGAATATGTAATTGATTCATGCATGNGTTTTAGAGGATACCTCCCTTAACATCCTGACCAAGTTTCATTTGTTAATTCCACCTGGTTTTCTTAAAACACAAGGTGCGGCTGACTACTAAAGCCCACCCTATATTTTTATTAAAAAATATTGAAAATAAATTAGAACAAAAAACTTTGCATATGTTGCGAAAAATTCTCTGTGCCAATACTTTTGTCCGGCACTGTATGTACATATGTCCAAACAAAAAAAAGAAAACAACATTGTAGTGCGTCAAAATGAAAATAATAATAAAATAATAAAAAGTTAAATTCTCTGGGAAGACAATACCTGTGAATATGTAATTGATTCATGGTACTTATATGTANATTGGCGACTCACCGGTTTATTGCTGTGGTGACAAATCGGCAACATTTCTTTCATGTCAACTTTGGAATAAATAAGTTATCAAAAATTCCTAAACTTATAAATTTCGCGTCGATAGTATTATCCAAAATCGTCTAATTTTTACCAGGGACAGAATTGAAAAAATAGGAAGCCCCATAGGGAAAGAAAGAATTATTTCTGTTTCTATATAAGTTCCAATATTGTATACAAAAATTAATGGAGTATTAAAAAGAATACAATTATTCCAAATATCGCCTGAAGCGATAAGAAAATGACTCATTCAGGTAATAAGAAAACGACTCGCCCAGGCGAGTTGCCTTCGGCGGACGTTTTAGAGCGACTGGTAATAGGAAATCGACACGATGGCAATATTACCGGCAATAAATTTGTTACCGAGGGCGAAACGTTTTCTTATTGCCGGCAACAAAAATTGTTTGGTGGGTGGTACTTACTTATGTACATATGTATGTATGTACATGTTTTNTGATTTTAAAATGTTGGCAAACTTCAAAAAAAAAATCATGGCCGACAAATTGAGAGAACGGTTCTACCTTGCTATGTTTTTATCATGTATGTACATATGTATGTATGTTTATACGCAGGTATAATAAAATTGATTTTCTCTTTTATAGCATATCCAACCAAACTCTGCAGAATTCACGAGCATCGGTGAAATGGTATTCGGAGCCTCAGCCATGTCTTTTCGCGGCACCGCATTCAAAGTGCATTGGTTGCAACAGCCGCCGCGTATATTATGCTCACAGGTTTTTCTTACGCCAGTACATTCGGGCAATGGAAATTCTCCATACTCTACCATTTCCACAAATAGTCTAGCCACCCCACGTACATCCATCTCCAGCGAACATGGTTCGATCGATAGCTTCTCTTTGAATTCTTTCTCGATGGTCGGCTATCCGATGGGTACTGGGCGACAGTTGAGTCTAACTCCTAGCGATCGCAGTAGCTTTATGACCACACCACTCGATGTTCCCGATCAACAGTCGTTATCGACCGAGGGTAGTCGAGCTGACAGTGCGCCACGCTTTTCATCTACATATAGCAATGCCAACGATTCGGGCTATGACGGCATGAGTCGCAGTCAAGTGTCCAGTGACCAATGGTCGGCGTCATATCAATACTCTACGCGGAGTAGTTTCGGCTCTGTGATGTCCGAGCAAATGGATGCGTTGCAGAAGTTCAGCATTGAATCTGCCTATTTTGCACATGCGACCTCTTTCGACGATAGCACAAGTGATGGTAGCATACAACGGCGTATCTCCCGCAATCTGCGCACTTCGTTCGAGAATGAACATGCAATCAACGATCTCATTGGGTTCATAAGTGATAATTACTCTGCTCCGGGTACGAGCAATTGTGGTGGGAGCGAGGGTGGGAACATGGGCATACCGAATTACAGACGTGCTAGCTATAGCGCGAATGAATCGCGTAGCAATCCAGAAATCGGGCGACGACGGGACACGGCTCGAATTGCGGCGAGTAAATCATTTCACCGGCGCGCTAAGCTGGGTTTGGCAGTGTGCATCACAATGAGCGAATCTTTCGAAGAGGAGATGGAGTTATTTTGCAGTGAGCATATAGCGTTGTTGGAATCTATGCTGGGACGTTTGCGGGCTTGCACGGAACGAGCGTACATAAATCATAAAGAATTCTATCAGGTTAGTTTCCATATGCTTTCAAGAACTATTGATCAAGAAACTAGTATTTTTGTACTAATTATACACAATTTTTAATTTATAATATACTGTAATATGAAAAAAGAACACGATATTTTGACCAGTTTGGGCTATGTGTTCTCGTTTGTTTAATACTTTTTATTTTTTATCAAAATACAGTTTATTATTTAACAAAAACCTTATAGTCCATATTTGAAACTTTTGTAGAAAAATCCAAAAAAATCAACAAAATTTTAGAGCAACAACAAACTTTTATTAGGAATTTTTAGAAAAAATATAAGTATGCAGTTTTATAGCCCATTAAATTCTAGCTTAAGAATGTGCATATTTAAAGTGCCTAAGAATTCGCTTTGATTTTTCAAATTTTGTTTTTTTTTTGCGAATTACCATCAACAAGTAAATTTTTTAAATAAAGGGCTATAAAACTGGATATTTAGGTTTTTTCTAAAAATTCTTAATACAAAGGTTTGTTGTTGCAAAATGTTGATTTGAATCTTATTTTGCTACAAAGTTTTAAATTGATCTAGTTGTGTGTTGTTAGATAAGGAGATCCCATGGGCGCTGTCGTGGTACTTGCGAAAATTTTATTTACACATATATGTATATGTTCAACATCACAACTAAAAAAAAAAAATACAACAAAGCGGCCTTAAAGTCTTAGAATAAAAACAAAAAATTTACTTATATAAAAATTATAAAAAATATACAAAAGAAATTGGCAAAGTAAAAGTCAAAGATGGTTTTTCAGTTAAAGTGGCTAAGCAAAGTAGAGAAGACTAAAATTGCAAAAAAGGCCAATTCTTTTATTATGAGACAATTGACAGACTGCTACACAACATAAATGAATCAGTTGGTGGTTCTTTCGGTATGCTTAACTCAAACGTTTTTTTATTCTTGCATAATAAAACTTGTTTTTTTTTTGTTTTTTTTTTTCTGGAAATGGACCCAATAGGTAGACATGTTTATTTGTAAAAATCTTATTTATTTTTCGATTTGAATCTTATTTTTGTTAGTATTCATAGAAATGTGTTTGAATAAATCCGAAAATTTGACAAAATGAACTTTTATTTTTAAAGGTGATGTTCCAAGCATGGCTAGAGACGCAACAATGGTTCAGCGACCTCTTCACTGCTCCGCGCATCAAGTGTCCAATCTGGCTTAGTATTACTACCAGCGGCAACAAGTACTCAAAAAGCGTTGCAGAGAAATTCATGAAAGAGCTTTGCTGGTTGCTTTCATTGGCCGATACTAAAGACACCAATTTGTGAGTTCGGCGTTGAGTGCGAAGAAAGTTTATTAAACAATTAAATATAATTCTTATTAATAAATTACAGCTTTGTCAGTACAATGCTGACGGCCATTCTAACCCATCATCTGGGGTGGGTCTCTACCGTTGCCGCATTTAATTCAACAACTTCTCTTGCTAAGTCATCTACTGCAGCGATCGAGCAGCGAGCTAAACTCCTACAGGTATCGCAGAAGCATCCATACAATGCGCTGTGGGCTCAAATGGGAGACCTCTATGGCGCGATTGGGCTGCCGCCGCGACTGGCACGCACGGTTATTTATGGCACAGAAAAATTAGCTGTAGAAAGGCTACTTAACATACTGACATACTTCATACGGTGCGGTGAAGTGCGGCGGTCGGCGAAGCGGGAAGACTTCAGCAAGGACACAATAAATTCATTAGTTCAACAGCGAAAAAATGAAGTGTTGAAGAAGTCTAGCAGCGCCGCATATCAACGTGGTGTTGGCTTAGGTAGTCAGAAAAAGACTGCTATTGCCACCGGCCTGGCTATCGATAGTAGCAGTGGTGGCGGGTTGAAACGCACCCAGACTTGTAAAATAAATTTGAACACCATAGCAGACAGTGGAGAGCTATCGGATGTTCTTGTAGATGAAGAAGATAAAAATAGCGATGAAGAAGAAATAGATAGCGCTAAAATTGTTCGTACATTAAAAAAAAATGAAATTCCAAATGTACTGGCTTTCAGAGATTCTCGTTTCGTGCAACAAGAGTTGCGTATCGGTAACTACCTCATGGACACAGGCATTGAAAAGAAATCATTGCTGCAATTCGCGAAATCTCATAACATTCATAGCAAATCTTCAGAAGAGAAAGAGGGACGAATTCGATTACTGATAACCACACCAGACAATGAAGAGATGCCAATAGAAGACGAAAGCTCACAGGGTGGTACAAGTACAAGTGAAGAAGGTGCCGTAGAAGCGATAGAAATCGATTCTAGCTTTGACGGTAATGTTACATATGCGGAAGCGGGTGTAGTGGATACAGGAAAGCGACACTTCTTTTGGCAGGTGGTAAAAGAAGGTATTGGTATTAGCCAACTGCAACGCGGAGAGAAGATGAGCGATGTAGCTGACATGGGTGAGTACGATCAACTTTGTCAGCAATTAGAATTTGAGGGACCCATGNTCTGATGTGGGTGAGTACGATCAACTTTGTCAGCAATTAGAATTTGAGGGACCCAAGGCGAATCTATCACTGTCGGATCTAATTACACAGAACAGCATTGGAAAGAGTGATCGTATGACATGGGGCATTGAACCACGACGTGAAAACGTTTGTCTTGAGGAACATATACATTTTGACAATTGCCAGAAGAAACGTGATCATGGCATCGCAAATGCTAGCGAAGGAGTAGTATTTATGTTAGGTGAAAATGAGCCACTCGTTAATCTTAAAAAGAGCAGTGAAGATCTTACTATTGCTGCGGATAAGGAGGCGGTCCAATCAGCTGAAGTTGGTGGTCATGATGACAACAATACTCAACAATTGTGCTCTCTGCATCAACGTACTTATGGATCAATATCGAAGCGGCATTCCGGTGTAAAATTTAACTTTGAACAGTTCCCGCAGATCGCAACTAACTACATGAAAAGCAAAAACCTTGTGTTATCAAACTATGATCTGCTAATGGACAAGAGTGCGAAATTAGAATCTCAGGGCGGTGCTCTAACCTTAGACAGTCTAACTTCGGAGTCTTCTGCGTCTGCATCCGCTTCTACGGCAACAGTCAGCAGTACAACAGTTAACTCTACAGAGTGCATGGTATGTAACAGTATACTTAACTCATATCAGACGCCTTCCAATGCCACTGAATTGGAGTTCGAAACAGATGAGATACGCTCCCCGCATTGCGCTCAAGGTGTCAATAAGATAATAAAAGGGACAGCTGCGCCCGTGGCATCAGCTAGTTCACGTACCCTTCAGTCTATCAGTTCAGCTGCTTCGATTGACACATTGAAATCTTCATCTGCAATTAATTTTACTGAAGTGGATGCTTCCGATCAGATAGCTGCAGTTGCACCTTCCCCCTCGCCTCGACAGAAAGCATATAATACAAATACACGCAAAGTGTCCTCGCATCGTGGTTCTATCTCGTCAGTTGCAGCAAAGTGCGCTGCTGTCAATAGCGCTATACATTTGATGAAACTGCCAGTGCCGGCAATTAGGGAAATACCACAAGAGGACGAACCAAGTGCTGTCGGTGGTATGAAATTGCGTGCCGGTTTCGTACCATCGCTTTTTCTTAGCGTTAGCGATCACTACGTATCTGATATGGTATTACAGGTAAATAATCTTCTTTTTTTTTAACGCATAACCATAAAACGAGTGCGCTTCGTTCGCGCTACGGAAGTGAATCTTCTCCCAAATCATTTTTTGTTCGCTTCACACTGAAACTTGTTCACTACTTTCTGATAATTTCCTTTCCATTTTCCATAACACCTTTATGGGACCATATATAGCTATGGACAGTTAAATAGCGTATTTATCTACTAAAGCTGTATCCCGGAAATTTGTCGTTAATCTCAACCTCAACCTTAATCTTAAACTTACCATTGACCGCTGCGTAGCTTGTTAATAATTCACTCATAAGAAAAATAGTGAGGAGCAGAAGCAAGAGAAGCTCACTTCCTTTGCAACCCAAGTACCGCATTTTATGTGCCCATTTTTTTAATTCACTGCCGCCGCTTAAGAAATTGTACGTCAATAATATTCTAACTTTTACTTTTTTCGATGCGTTAGGGTACTTGTGCACCACCGGACAAATGGCAATTATCGCTGCGCGAGGATCTGGTCTTGTCCGCACGTGCTGCATCTCTAATCTCATTACCCGCTGAGAACGTGGCAATTGTGGCGAACATGGAAAAGTGGGATGTGCGTCTAATCTCATCACAAATGCAACATTTTCCATACGCAGGCGAACAAAGTACGCCGGTGGGCATGTCTCAATTGGTGTCCACTATGCTCGAAACTGTGCATGCTATGAACAGCGCTGGTATTTCGGCCTATGAGGTTTGTATGCCTTCTCATGAAATGCGCCAACAATGTTTATTTGCTCTTGTTATTTCTTTAGTGTTTATCCTTTCTTGAATCGAAAATGCAAGAAATATACCTGCAATCGGAATCGTTGGCGGCTTTTCTGCTCGAAACAGAGTTTTGCCAGTTGAGCACTGTAACAACTGCATTAAATCTTAGTGAAAATGATGTACCGTTGCTGTTATCAATTGCCTCCATACATACACCTCAAATAGCTAAAAAATGTGGAATTAGCTTTAGATGACAGACTCTTATTTAACTATATTTATTCGTTTGGTTCGGTACATTAGCAAAGTACATCGCTTTATCACAATTAAATACTCAAGCGAATCTTCATATATTTCACATATTCATATTTCTTAAAAATATTTTATAAAAAACAGGTTAGATCACTGCTTTGATCTTGTGATATGTTTAACAGCTATAGATTAGCAAAATATGTAATACTTACTGTAAGGCGATTATTTACAAAAACTTTACATTCACATTTCCGGTAGCTTATAAATAATAACAAAGTTTATTACCAAAAGCAATATATGTATGTATATCGCACCTTTATAATTAGTCGAAATTATTGCAAAGCAAAGCAATCGTGTATTATGGTATCCATTTCTGCTTAAGAAATTTATAAATTCTAAGTAAACTAACTCAAGTCAGATAATTGTAAAAAATATTCTAATTAACATAGCATATATGTAGATAAAACGAAATAGATCGGAAGAAAATGGTTTCTAAAAAATAATAACTCAACTTATCTATCGTACGTGAATAAAGAGCAGGTACTCTGCTTTTATTTTAAACTCATGAGGAAATATCGAAAAGTTTAAATTCGAGTGAGTTTGTTTAATTATAAAAGGTGCGACACTTGTATGTTTACATAACCATGTGTATGTATGTATAAGTATTTAGTTTGCTCCTGTCGATATTAGTAAAAGTATTTCATAAATCTTTAGATTTGTATAAAAAATAAATTATTATTGCAATAGGCGTATTTTGTGCCTATTGTATCAAATTCAATAGTTTCTACATATACATTAGAACGTGGGTGTATAATAGATCGATATAATTATAAGAAAAGTGTGAAATTGTTCATAGTGTAAGTTAAGATTTATATTATTCATTATCTCTTCAAGCATTAAGAGTGCGAACATGAATTTAGTGCGAAGACACATGTACATATACATTCATATGTATGTATGTCGCTGTAAAATGTATATATGTAAATACATATATTTATGGTATACAAAAAATAATAAGTACATATTTTTGATAAAAGAAAAATGATTTTTACTTCAAATATCGAGAATGAATCCAATTTAACTGCTTATAAGCAAATCCTAGCGGTGCGGACGTTACGTTCGGATGTTTCTTTTTGTCGGCAGAAAATTATAACTTAATCAAGTAAAGAAGTATAAGTTCGAGCGAAGCCTTGCTTTTTATTCCCGGCGCACAGTGGTCTGAAATCCAAATCTAGGTGGACAAAACTATTTACTCAAAGACGCGTTGACACAATTTGACACTAGTGTGTTTCTATATGTGTTTGAGGACGCTGAGTACGAATCTGAAGTTAGATTTGAAAAACTCAAAATGGCGGATCAAATATCGCGAAAACGAAGATTAAGAAATCAGTAAACTGTCTTAAAACAGGGTTTTTTGGGGTTTTTGTGATCGCTGATTACGAGTTTGGAGATGGTTGTTAAAGTAGAAAACATTTTTATTGTGAATCAAATATTATTTTTATAATATTTCACATGGTTCGGATAGTCGAATTGGTAAGAAATTGTATAAGTTGTGAACATTGGGCAGAATGATTGAAAGTGTTAATAAATTTCGTCGTTGTCTTCTGTGCAAGCTTCACAAGTAAAAGTAGTACATCTTTCGGCAGTTGTCTTTAATTGACCACAAATGTACTTAATTTTTTATATTTAGCCATTCTATTTTTTTAGAGAAAACCCCATTTTCAATCTTACAAGTTGACCATTCGTCCCGATTTTGGGGAATGGGCAATTTATTTTCGGGGAACTGGGTATGCTATTTTTATGTCTTAAAGTAACCAAATTATACGCGTATGTTAATTTTCAACCATTTGACCCTTTTTGGAGCGACATTTTTTCTATTTGAATCGCAATATCTCCACAACAAGATATTCCCAGATATAAGCTATGTACCAGATTAAAGTTAAGATTCCGGGCTAGACTTGTGGAAACTTAGAATAAAATTGACTGACCAGTTTTTGAGAAAATGCCCGAAATGTATATTTTCAGCAGCCCGATTTTTAGTTTTCAGATGATAACGTTATATATTTAAATTTTATAAACACAAAAGACAGCGTTAGATAACCTGTTTGAAGACCCCTCTACTGATATCCACATCAATGACGTGAACTGAGTAGTGCGGCCTCAGTGGTAGTTTAAAAAATTGCTTTTTTTTCGAATTTCAGGCAGCGGCCACGCCCACAAAGGCATACGAATCAAAACATCCTGGAACAAAACCTTCTTAGTTTTTTTTTTTTACTTTAATTCCTTAAAGTCTGAAAAAAATTAAATGAAGGTACATACAGACGCCACATACATACCAAAGCATCTCGTAGTGGAGACACGAACCAAAACACATTTACCTCTATATCTTTCCAACTAGTAGCCGGAACTTAATATATAAGGTATCGTTTGAAAGGTATTGGCCTATAGAACAACACTAAATATGTTGGGTTTACCCACATGCCCCCTTAAACCGGCAAAAGCAAAAAAACGTTTTTTGTTTCGCAGCACTTTAGCCTAATTTTTAGGAGTCCGGTTAATCGTTTATGAAGCTTGAATACATTTTCTGGGCACACTCTGCAAGACCTTCCCAACGATAGATCAAACATGTCGATTGGACTTGTGGATAAAAACTTCCAAATCTCGTGTATATATAAGCGAGTCATTTCAGCATGCTCGCACTGCCGTGCGCTGTGATAAAGGCAAAGGTGAAGGGGAATATGTAGATGAAGAAAATGATAAACCTAAAAGTAAAATCAAAGGTAAATATAAATATAGAGAAAAATATGAGGATACCGATAAAAGTAAAGATGTAAATAGATGAAGAAGGATTAAAATGATGGTACTTCAAAAAAGTGCTTAGAAAAGGTTATAGATAAGAGACAGAGACTCAATCTGGGAACTATTTTGGGATTTTAGAGATTTTCGGGTTTCTCGGGAGTTATCGATATTTTTATCGGTTTTGTTATCGATATTTTTATTTATTTTCATACCGATTTATCGATATTTTTGGAACTTATCGATATAATAATCGATATTTTTATTGATTTTGTTATCGATATTTTATCGATTCTACCAACATTATTATCGATTTTGTTATCGGATTTTTTTTATCGATTTGGTTACCGATATTATTATCAATATTTTTTTCGGTTTTTTTATCTACATTTTCATCGATTATAGACTTTGTTATCGGTATTTTTATCGATTTCGTTATCGATATTTTTATCAATATTTTTATCGATATTTTTATCGATTCTACCAACATTATTATCGATTTTGATATCGATATTTTTATCGATATTTTTGTCGGTTTTGTTATCGATATTTTGATGGATGTTACTATGGATTTTGTTATCGATAAAGTATAAAGATAAAAATTAAGATAAAGGAAAACAGAATAACATAAATGTATTTGAAAAAAATCACACATACACACATCAAAATTGTCTATGAAAAGAAATATTTTTAAAACTTTTTTTCTCTACAAAAAATTAATTTTCGCTTTTTCCGATTTTCTGACTATCCCGGAGGGTTTTTCCAAAATTTTCTTACGTAAAAACCTTCTCCTGACAATTACGAACAACTAGAAAAAATCATTAGCCAAATCGGCCCCACCGTTCTCAATTGATGAATTACTATACATTTTTCACACCATTTTTATATACATACAGTATTGGCCAATGCAATAGCACCCCCATTTCAAAGTGATATTGTTTGCCACTCATGTTTATTTATTTATTTTTCAGAATTTTCAATTAAAATACAGTTCATTCTCTCACAAAACTCACATAAACTCAAGTTTAAAACTTTTTAAAAGACCGCAAAAAAGTGCAACAAATTTTCACCCAAATTTCAAACTTTTTTCTCAGAAGCGGTAGAATTTTTTTGAATACACAGTTTTATAGCCCATTCAATTTTAGTCCAATAATGTGCAAGTTTCAAGTGGCTAAAAATTACCGTTGATTTTTTAGAATTTTTTTTCGCCGAGGATGTTGCGGGTTTCTGCCATATAAAAATAAATTGTGTTTAGTCGTTATATGGAAGCATGTGAGACCAAAAAAAAATCTAAAAAATCAACGGTAATCTTTATTGAATGACCAATACGTTAGTTTCGAAGATATTCAACCAAGTCTTACCATGAAGTTTTTGACAAGCATAAAATGGGTTCGTGGCTTTATGGGTAGTCGAGGCTGTTATCTAGTATTGCACCTAGATATTTCGCCTCTTAAGAGATCTCAATCTCTGTACCGCACAATTTAGGTTTGATCAAGTTGGTCTTCCTTCTTTTGGTAAATGGAACGATGATGGACTTCATTAAGTTAATTGACAGGACCTTTTCAGCACATCATCCTATGGTTACGTTTAGAGCAGACTGCTTCCTGAAGCATAAGGTCTCCTTATCCCAGCCTACCACGTAGATAGCAAGGACATCAGCATATCAATACGCCTTAAAGACATTCACTTTAATGGCGTTTCCTTTTCTACAACAAATTTTGATTTTCATTGCTCTCTCCTTAGGACTTGTGCGTAGAGGATACTGAGAAGGCAACACTTTTCGGTAGAAAAGAAAACGCCATTAGTCTTTCTAAGAGTTCGTCCACAATAGGGGAGAAAGGTTTCCCCTTGAGGGCAGCAACGAGTGGCCGTTCATGCTCGTACTTGGGTCTTATGTGATGCAGCCCAGGAAGTAGGTCTCCAATGGAAGTCTGCTAGTTTCCTCAGATGTAACAGCGTAGGCTCCATCGTGTTTTTAAAAGTGCGTAGCCTGTTCCAGTGATCTAATTTGAGGGCCGTTTGTAAGCGCTGAGCAGCCGGTAGGGAAGATATTCCCCCGCAGTACTCACTCCATGTGTCTCATTTGGATCTACTGAGTTCACTGTTGTAAGCAGTTAGAGCCGATCTGTAGGCTGACCAGTCACCAGTTCGTTTGGCTCTGTACTTCCTGTAATTTACTAGCCTTTTGTCCAAGCTTGCTGAGATTATTGGGCCTAATGCATAAAAATAGAGCTTAAGCTCAGACTCAATCTTTGTACTGACTAAGGGAGCTTAAGCTCAAGCATTTGTACTAAAACTTGAGTCGGAGCTCAAGCTCACTTTTTATGCATGAGGCCCATTGTTTCACCAAGGAACGTCCTTTTGAAATTTCTTATCCCTCTTTGGAGAGCTCTCTTCAAAGGCTGATAGGAAAAAGTCCAGGAATAGAGCGGGCTCTACTTCCAGGTCGTGCGTTGATAAAATATCCTTCACATACAGGTTCGCCTCCTGTTGTAAGTGCAGGCGAAAGAGTTCCCAGTTTCTTTTCGTGGGGTTCCTGTAAATTTGGTTTGTCTCGTTTAGAGTACTTATGTATATCAAACCTAATGTGCTGATGGTCTGACATAGATCCCTCATTTGATACGTGCCAGTTTGAGATAAACGCAGACAAGCTAGATGAGCAAACTGTCAAGTCTAAGCCCTGATAGCATTTATAAATGTCGACCCAATAGCCCGGTTAAGAATATACAGTTGGTTCTTAATAATATATAAAGTGGCTCACCTCTGGTGTTAGTGACTGAGCTGCGTTGGCATCAAAGCCCATCACTAGTTTCAGCCGTCTTTGCCTGCAGTACTCCTCTAGGGCTAATACTTCCCTTGTGGGCATTTCGCAGCTGTCGCCCGGAAGTAAGTACAACCTGCTGTACTCCATTTTTGAGTTGGTACTTTAGTCCATACGGCCACGGCAATGGTGTCATGTGTCATTAAAAACCCCCTGTTAACCCGCCGGCCCAAACATCCGAGGCCGCTTTGACGTGATGCAGGTTCGCTGGTAGTTTTGATCCGCCGGGGTTTATTTAGGAATCTTGCCATTACCCTTTTCCCCCCTGTTGCTACACAGTGTTCTCTCCTTTCTTGATTGATGATTGATCCCCTGTCCCTTCCCTAGTGAGCCAGGTGGGTGTGCCAACTTTTGAGTAGTCTTGCCACTCTTTAGGCTTATCTGCCGGATGCTTAGGTGACGCTTGCGCCTCCACAGGCTCCTCTCCTGACTTCTGCGATTTGACAGCGACTTTCTAACAACAAGGTTGCTCATTGACCGCTGCACCTTCGGCATTGGCAGTGGAGGAGGATACCGCAGGTCCTGACCTGTGAATGCATACCTTTCCGTAGCCATAACTGATCTGCCACCCTTGCGTGTCCAGAGTCTCAACAGAAAAGGGGTCGACAGCTAGAGTTAGCTCAGTGGTGGGGTCTCTTTGGACCCTGTTGAGCGCCGTCCAGCTACCTACCCGCAAGTCAGAGTTCTGACCCTCGACAAGGGTAAGGATCCTGTCAACAGAGGTAGGAGCTGGTTCCAGAAAGTCTCTATTACATTATTTTGGATCAAAGATGGGTGTTTGGAGGAGATACTCTTGTTTTTAATGCGTCACTATGTGATATCAGAAATAATTATGAGAAAAATAACTTATTCATTCTTAACCAAAACTATTCAATTGTATAAAATGCCAAATCGGGGGAAAATGCACCAAGCAGAAAATAAATTGCCAAATTAATCACCAGTGGCAACTGTGCAAGTGATCAGCTGTTTCGAAGGTTGCAAGTTTTTGCAAATTTTGCGTTCTCGTACTTCTGTTGATATTTCGTCCCTTTGAGAGCGAATGCTGCTAAATTCTCAGAACTTTTTCTGCTGGAGAATTTTGTCCTCTCAATACGAGTACACACCTATTGCTTTTCTCCCATAACTTTAAGCCACGCAATTTGTTTAAACTTGGCACCCAATTGAAGGCGGCCCAACTTACAGATATGCTCAAAATTTATGAATATTTCAGAATGCCCTAAATGTGAAAGGAAAAAATGCGTAAACGTTGCCCTCAAAACTTTAGTTGAAAGTTAAACAGTAAGTTTCCTCCTTGATCTTGGTTAAAAATATACATGATTATGTGAACATTACGTGATTGACGGCAAAATTTAACTCACGCACGTTCACGCCAGTTACTCACGATCACGTAAGTTACGTGAATTTCTCTCAACACGCATGAAAAAGCGTAACACCAAGTGGCACGGAGGAAATCACTTGTATTGCCCATCTCTAGTTTAAACCCGTTTCACGTCCCTGCTAAATGTCAAAAGCTAATGTACTACTAAATGAGAAGAAGTCCAACCAACCAGTAAAGTCTTCATTTGTATTGTAGGTATTCTCATTTGCCTGGTCACCAACAAACTAGTCTAGAGAACATTTATTCTAATACCCAAGAAGATGTGAATACCTGCCACGTTTTTCTGTTCAATATGTAAATTTAAAGCAAACAGATATTCAATAGTAATAAAATTGCAAGTTCAGAAAAACTTCCGCTTCACACATTTTGCTAAGTATAGGTCAAGCTTTTTCCCCCAATTTGTACTGTCCACCTTAATGTTGTCACATAAATTAAGGGAACTACAATATAACGCCGCATCCGAACGACAGATAGTTTATTAAAGAGACATTTTATTGCAGAAATACACTCGAAATTTTGTCAATGTTTGCTGAGGTGACCACCATTAGGAAAAAAATTAATTGATTGGACCAGGAATCGAACTTATTTAATTTTTTTATTTTCTTCTCCAAGTGTACGCATGCGATATTTTTATATTTCCATACGAAAGCTAGAGCAATACGCGAGATGAGCTTAAAAATTAAAATAGACACCACTGTTACACTTGTCAGCAACGTTGATTGACATCTCTGCTGGCCTGAACTAGCACATCGAATGCATCTGCTATGTACGTAGTTATTTTTATCCAATAAAAACCACAAATATTAAAAAAAAAATTGGATTGTCCTAATGAATATCATTTTTCAGCCTTATAATTAGCACAATTTTGCGAACGCTGTTGTAGCAGATTAGAGGTGCATATTCCAACCAGGCAGGACCGAGGTACGATTCGTAGTCCACCACCGTCAAAAAATTGTTTATTCTAATAGCGGTCACCCCTCGACAGGCGATGGCAAACCTCCGAGTGTATAACAACATTACCCAGAATTTAGGTAGGCCTTTTTAAGTGAAGCCATCCTAAGAGGCCTACCCAAGAAGGGCTGAAAAAGTACTTCCTTGCATGCCTTCTAGAAAGGCTTATCCATTTACAATTTACGCGAATGAGTAAATTTATCTATATTATTTAACATTACAAATGAATTCCAATAAAAATTGTAAGTTACAATAACACATATTTGATATAAACCTTAAGTAAATATTTCAAAGATGTATGATTTTTATAATTCAAGGAAGCAACTTTAAAGAACTCCTCCAAAAGGCCTTCTGAAGTACATCCTAAAAAAGCCCTTCTGGAAGGCCTTCTATGGGTAGCGAAAGAGGAAGCCCTTCAATTTGTGCCACTCCATACAAAAAAGAAAGGAGAAAGGAATGTAGAGTGGAAGGCCTCTTGATTCTCAGGAAGGCCTTTCGGAAGGGCTTTTAACTCCTGAAATTATCTACTGGGTAAGGTTCACACCACAAATTGAAGGAGAAGCTCGACTAGGGACTAAGCAAAATGTATAAGGCCCCAAGTGTTTATTGCAGTAGACACAATAGCCGAAGTATTAGCGAGATTGAAAACATTTTCGCTTTTCAAATTTTGAATTGAATTTAATAACTTAATAACTCACATTTGATATAAATTCTAATTCATTATCTCCATCGGTCCGAACCTACGCATTCGTTCCAAATATAATTCGATAACTAGCAAATCAGTCAATGCCTCATCTGTTATTTCACTAGAATATTTATTTACGAGTACTGCATGGATTCCATATATGCACGTGTATGTTTGATATTTTACTAGCTAAATATGTATACATACATACTATGTACATGGGGGAATGTAATGATTGAAACACTTAAATATAAAATTATCTTACATAATAAAAATATTGGTTTTCTATATATTTACGATTACTGGATGTATAGTTAAAATATCATAAATGCCAAATGTGTGCCTAAGACTGTGTGCATTTTTACTACAGCTGCTTTTTGTCCAATTTTGTACAGTTATTTGGTGCCGATGACTTTGTCGTGGCACTTTCTAAAGGCGATTCTGAAGACTTTAATGTTCCCTTTTTACTTACGTCGGGGGAAGCTTGTGTTGAATTCGCAGGTTGAATGTTACAAACGCTGCCAGTCAGCTGCTTATTCACCGCTTTAAGCGGCTCCGATGAATCCGATTTAAACGGTCGGTTTCCACTGCTTAGATATAAATGTGGGGTATCAATCCAAATGCGACGCGCTGTTAGCATACAAGTGTCTTTGACATTTAAAACCAACTGGAGCATACCATCAATCAGAGCTCCGATGCTGTCAAATTCATTGGGTACGATGCCATCTATAGAGCTCTCAAAATAGCTAAACATTGGAAACCAGATGCGGGTACGGTTTGAATCATGCGACATAAGAGCCTGTAAATATATTAACAAAAAGATGTATTTCTTTTAGTGCACATTTTTTATCATTGCTGAAAATTTACCTGATTATTGGCTAGCGTGTGATAATACAGAAAGAGGCGCGATGTTATGTAAAATGCGACAAATACATCTATTGAGTAGTGCTCGTGTGCGGCGAGTATGAAAAAAATGCCAAACATATTCAAAAGCCAGGTCAACGTGTGCAAAAAATACAAATTGCGCGGTGTATCTGTTTAAGATAAAAAATATAAATTTAATATATGTAATTTCATATTGTTTCCGAAATGGTCAAAGACGCCAATTTCTATATTTTAAGGTTTTTGGTAGTTTATATTCTATGTTACATACAAACAATATACATATGTATAATAACTAACAAAAGTTTAAAATTATATATTTAAACGGTAATGTAAAATTTAGATTAATGCAGATGTCGGTTTACCCTACCAAACTTGGGGAGAAGGTAGGTAGGGGGTGAGCTCCCTGATAAGCACCAAATTTTTTAGGTAAAAGTGTTACCGTTTTTTGAAATATTGATATTTTTTTAATTAGAAAAAATCGGGCCTATTCATTTATTTCCTTTNAAATTTTTTAGGTAAAAGTGTTACCGTTTTTTGAAATATTGATATTTTTTGAATTAGAAAAAATCGGGCCTATTCATTTATTTCCTTTAACTGCATGTACAAACAAGGCTATACTTAGTAAATTTTTTTTGTAAAATACTTCCAAAGTACAAATGTACGTTATTACCTGCTCCTGACATTATTTTATGACACTTAAAAAAAGGTAATAATAAAAAAACGGTGACACTTTTACCTGAAAAATTATTGCTTATGAGCGAGCTCACCACCTCTTCTCAAGTTTGGTAGAGTACTTCTTAGACACCCTGTACATGTACATATCGATGGCTGAGTGGAAGATCGATCTATCTCGGCAGTCAGTTCAAAAACGCCCTATTTCAGAATTTGGCTGAAGAACGCCCTATTTTACAATTTTTTTGAAAATTGCGCTATCTTAGAATTCGGTTCAAAAACGCCCTTTCCAGCTGCCGATTCAAAGACGCCTTATCTTAGCCCATTTTCAATGAATTTTCGTATGAGATAGGGCGTTCCTCAACCAAATTCTGAAATAGGGTGTTCTTCAATCAAATTCTGCAGTAGGGCGTTCTTGAAAAGTTCTCTGAGATAGGTCGTTTACGAACTGGCTGCTATAATAAGATTCTGCTTATCTAAATAGAATAATAAAGATAGAAATTATAAGCGCTTAAATAAAAATACACAACTACAATCGATAGCAACTACAATCGGTAGCTGAGTGGAATATCGACCTATCTCG